AGAGTGAGACAGAGAAAGAGAGAGCAGGTGAGAATAACCTAGTCTGACCTTATTTCAGCATGGCTTTTCCATTCTTTATATTCCCTCATTGCTGTCATATTTACACAGGAATAAAAGATTATTGGAGAGATCCGCGGAGAGGAAATAAAGTGGAGGGAAAGGGGGGAGAAAGGGAAAATAAATAAAAGAAAGAATGAAGAAAAAGAGGCAGATGGAGTGTAAGGAAAAACGAATTCAGAGCTCCAACTAACAATTATTTTCATTGTCTATCAGTCTGCCAATTAATTTCTCAATTATTCTATTAATCATTTAGTCTACGAAATGTCAAAAAATAATGAAAAAATATCCATCACAAATTCTCAGAACCCAATGAGATGTCTTCAAACGCCTTGCTTTTTCCAACTAAAACTCCAAAACCCAAATATATTCAAGTGACAATAATATAAAACAGAAGAAAAGGAGGAAAAAAAGCTGTAACCAGCGAATGTTTGGCATTTTTGCTTTAAAAATGGCTGTATAGTTGTATTTCATTTTCTTCGGATTAACCGTATCAGCTCTACCTCTTGTGAAGAAGAAATAAAAGGCAAATTAGCACAAATAAAATTCCACCCAAACAACACAAGTAATTGGCCCTAAAACAAACCTTTATTATAGCGCTCTATCTCTCCATGAGAATGTGCACACAGTCTGGCCTTTCAGACAGGTAGACACAGGCTGGGCAATAAGTGTAATTTGCTTTCCTGGTTTATGTTATGATCAAGAAATGAGGAGACAGAGCTTTACTTCCTTACTGGATTCAACAATTATAGACTTAAGAGAACAGTTTTACACAAAGCCAGCATCAGAAATCAGAGATATTGGGGTAAACATCCAGATATTTTTTGACAGCAACAACAGCTCTCTTGGCTGCAAATTATATGTGTGCCATGTTATATATCCACATGAGTGTACTGTTTAAGATATTGCCTTCTTGTGATGATCTATTTATTCTTATGATAATGTTTTGTATCAGAAATATGTAATTAAGCGTTGACAACATTAACATCTATGCCACTAAAGCGTATCTGATTTTTTTTTTTTTAAAGAGAATCCTGAAAGAAATGGAGGAGCCGATAAAACACAGACCAACAGTAAGAGGTTCTGATGAAGCAAGACGTGCAAACACAAACACACACGCAAGAATAAGCACACACATGCAAAAGCAGAGATAAGTGCGCACTTGCACACAAAAGACGTCCCTATATTATGCATGCACACATGCTTCCAAACATTACAAAAACACACATCAAAACGACCGGAAAAGACAGTAGGCGGTTATTAAAGAGACAAAAGAGAAAAATAGAGAGAAGGAGAAGAGACACTTTACCAGCAATCAAAGACGAAGAGGAGGAGAGACAGAGAGAAAAACAGAGAGTAGAAGTAGAGGCAAAGAGAGAGAGAGAGAAAGAGAGAGAGAGAGATGCAAAAATGGAGAGTTTGCTTCTAATCAGCCTGGATCCAAAATTTAGACAGGCACACACAGAGGCACGAGCAGTCCCAGTAGGATTAGGACCCCAGCACTGTGTGTGTGTGTGTGTGTGCGTGCACGTCCCATGAGACTGATTAGCCATGAATGACTGATGACGGATCTTTGTTGTTGTTGTTTTTTTTTCTCCTCTCTCTCGTGCTCTCTTTCCTTGTTTTCTTTCTCACTACTCTCGGGCAAGAGCATGGGAGGGGATTCTCACACACACACACGCACACACACACACACATACAAAGCTGCACACAGCTCCATGTATATTCAACGAAGGCTCCTGAATATACTTAATGCTTTCATGTGTGTCACTGTGTAACGATCCATGCTGTTCCACACAGCTGCTTCTCGCTTTTTCTTACTCTCTTTCCCCTCGTCTTACACACACACACACACACACACACACACACACCCCGATATGAACCTATTTCCTATTTAAGAGCACATTAACTGTCTTTCACACCAAATACTCAATCTGTCCAATCTGTACGACAGCAGCAGAGTGACTCAGAAAAAGCTTGAAGAACTTGAAGGGTCTGGGATTCAGGGGGCAGTCCGACCACTCTGCCTTCTTTAACCTCACCTCCAGATGAACCTACAGCCCCCTCCATCCATCTGAGCCCCTGACAGCAAAACAAACTGGACATAGACCCGCCTGAATGGAGGCCATTACAATATGAATGAGCCAAACAGAGCTGAAATGAATCGAACAGAGCACCAAAACACAACAGCCGAGGAAAGGGCCCCGGCTGAGTCAAACAAGTCAGCTCGAGTGACGATGAGTCAGGCATAAATGTGACCCTGAGACGAATAAAAGCCGGTCCGTCTCAGGTGTCGGTTGTTGCCGCGATAAGGGTTGCTGTGGTTGCACTGCCTCGCTGTTATGCAGTATGCATTTTAGGGGGTGCAGACCTGTGGATCTGGCGAGACTGTGACATCATGTCTGCCCCCCCACCCCTGTGCTAAGTGATGTCACCTCTCTTTCACGTCGCGTAAACAGGGGATTGCCTTGACCCCTCTGAAGAAGTGGAAAGCCATAAAATAGCAGGGAATTATAGTGTCTGCAAACACACACACACACACTTTTGTGCACATATGAATACCCACTCTTTTTCCACACATCTTGTGACTTTTTCATGCATTCATATCATGAATAGCAGCCACTGCTGCCACATATTCACATAAAACATCTTATGTTGTATTCTTAAATGAACACACACACGCAGACACACACCCGCCGCCCCCTCCTCCTGTACAGAGTAAGAAGCTGTTTTAGCCTTGTGTTTTGCAGGCTGTTTAAAATGTCATTTTTCTCTCGTTTCTCTGACTTCAAAGGCACCGCGCTGAGCTCTCACTCCCTCTTGCCAAATCCTCCAATCGTTTCTGATTTAGTGAGTTGGCCATGGGCCGAGTAGCACCGGGACGGGCCCGTTAACAACCGGCCGAATGGTGGGGAGAGCGGGAGGCAAGAAGAGAGGAGGGTATGGGGGGAGAAACAAATGAGGCAATGTGGAAAAGGAGAGGAAGCAGGCTGAAATTGAGACAGAAATAGGAGGAGTGCTGAGAGAAGCTGGTCTACTAACAACGCGAGGAGGCGATGGGCGTGTGGGGAGTTAGACAGAGATGGGAACTGGATATAAGAGGTGGGGGGATCGATTGAGAAGAGAGTGATGGGGGGGAGAGGAGTGGAGAAGTAGGAGGAGGAGGAAGGAGGGCTGGAGGACCACTCCAAAAAGCCGTGAGGAGCGAACGCAGAGTGAGGGGGAAGTGAAAGAGGAAAGCAGAAGGAGAAGAGGAAAAGGGAGGGCGAGCATGTGGTTAAAGAGGAGCGAGGAATGACGGGTAGAGGGGGAGGTCTGGCCAGCAAGGGACAGAAGAAGAAGCAGAAAAAAAGGGGAAGAGGAGAGAGAGAAAAGAGCACATGGACACAGGAAGTCTGGCGCTTTCCATTCACATGCCAAGTCATCAGATGGTGGTGTGTGTTCACACCCCGGAGATGTCGCAACCAAACGCACCCCGCTCCCTTCAAATCACTGCTACCGACAATAAGCAGCTGTTCACATGTTGGATGAGAGTTGGAGATGAGACAAAAGTCTTCTGTCACTGCAGCAAATGTGCTTCAGAACAAATGCCACGCTTCACTCAAAACTCCAACATCAAAACGAGCTTCAGTTAATATATTCCACATTTTTTATCTTTCCATTGATGTGACCTTTTAGACGACTCAAATCTCAGTCACAGTTACTCCAAGGTCAATTTGATTAAGTGAAACATTCAGGAATATATTTAAATGATGTGCCATAGTTAGCTTGAAATATCAAAGCATACACAAGAGTCTAATTTGTAATGGAAATGACTTTAATGACTTTACTTAATGACTTAATGCCTTTAATGCGTCAACAAATTTCAAACAGTCAGACTCATTTAACTGATTTCTTTGGCCTTGCTGCATATTTTATTTTAACTTTAGATAAGTGCGGTACTGATGTGGGTGTAAAATCAGTTTTCCAATATTTAGAGGTTGACAAAAAATGTGTGTGTATGCACAGCGTGATTTTCTATAAAAGTTTGTATGGGGTGTGTGTGTGTGCGCTTAATGAATGTCTTTAGATTAAAATTCATCCTAATGCACACCAAAAATCACCAATCCAATGTACCTTGATGTAATAACAGAACCAGTGGGTTGTTTTGACTGAGGGTTTGAGTTATTTTTAATATTACCATTGGGTTAACTAAAATATGGTTATTATGACCCAGTGTTAGAAATAACAAATGTGCATATGACATTCAATACTGCAAAGGATACACATATTCTTAACAATCAGTAACAAATGGTGACATGTCATTTTAAAGTGTCACAAGCATACCATATTTTTAAATACAGTAACATAAAATATAACTGGGTCACACATGGGTACGGGGTAAAGTTAACCCAGTATTGTGCTTGCGGCTGTAGACTGAGTCAATTTGGATTTTTCCTATGTATTTTTTTCGTAAATTGACGGCGTAAAGGGACGGTTTACAGTCGTTCCTCGCTGCGTCCAATCACAGCTCGACTGCAGCCTCCACCAGCTGCCTCCTCCACACAGGGGGTCGTCTTGCACGCTGCACCCGGGATGTGCCCCTTGTACCCTGGGTAGTGCTGGTGAGGTGAGGGGGGTTGGGTCTGTTTGAGGCTCATCCACTGCTGACTCATCTCTCTCTCACACACACATACACACACACAAGCATCTCCTCTCTCTCTCTATTGCTTTCACTCTCTCACACTCTTGAGAGGCAGCAGAGACGGCAGGCTGAGGAGTCGGGGAAGGCGGCCAGTGGGTGCCGTCAGGCGGTGGTAATCTGACTGGATTACCAGCCAGGTGGAAACATTCAGCCTCTCTACTCCCAGTACTCCACCTTCTCCTCCTCCCTCTGCTCCATCCATCTATCATTTACATACTCATATTCTCTTTTCACCCTATTTTTTATTTCTTTGATATATAGGGCCTTCCTTCACCGCTGCCTTTTAACATAAGTAGCACCCTACACACACACAAATGGATATCTGTACTGCCTACAGACATCTGTGACTCTAATTGCACGAGCATGTACACAGAGAAACTTCTACACATACATCATCTTTTCTCTCCACGTCATGCAAGTTGTTTGTGTGTGAAGGTGTGTGCAGGTAGGAGGGTGAAGGGGTGTGTCTCATCTGCGCTGTCTGTGACGATCAAAGCCAAAGCCGAGGAACTTCCAAGAGACGAGAGACATTACTGACAGTGTCATGATGAATGGGCAGGGTGGCAATACACATACACACACTCACACACAC